TATTGTGTATATTAAAACACATTTAGTTTATTAGTACTATTACAGAAATCTGACCTGTTTTATTGATTTTGACTGACAAAATATACATCACATTATGTTTATTAGTTTATTTATTAAAACTGTGTAATCCAAATGAATGGGAGTTTTATATGCAATTCCAATACATAAATCTTGAATGTAAGTATTTGTTTGAGTGTTGCTGTAGAAAGACATTGATTTATAATGTGTGTGTGTGTGTGTGTTCAGCCGGCAGTGCTGCAGTCTCTCCACATGGTGGCGCTGCAGGGGAAACATGTCGAAGCGGCCGCTGTGATGAAGGAGCCACTGAACTGGCTGGAACAGAGTCTGAGCAAGAAAAACACACCGTTCCTTACTGCAGTGAGTCCAGTTCATCATAAACACACACATCTGTGTCTCTGCGGCCTGAGACTGAGCTTCCTACAGCACTCAGAATACATACAATAAACTCATGAGAACGTATAAGGGATAACAGTATAACAATGCATACAGTCAGCTGATTGTCATCACAAAATACAGCCTTTAAGGGGTCATCGGATGCAAAATTCACTTTTGTTGTTGTTTGAACATAAATGTGTGTGTACACATCCACCCTATAATGATAAAAATCCCTATTTTAAAATCCCCTTTCTCAAATCAGGCTGTTCTGAGATTCCTGTCAGAATGACCTAGTTCTGCACAGGCCCCTCCCACGATAGTTGAGTGACAGGTCTGTCTTACCTTAGCTCCGCCCTGAGTGAGCTGTCATCAGTCCGCCATTGTGTCGACTCCGGTGCAGAGGAAGACAAGAACATCTCCGATTGAGGAGGATTAAGCAATTGAGGTGTTTTGTTGTTGGATGTAATAATGAGCATAGCAGTCGTCATTTACTCCAAGACGCAGAGGATTAACGTTACTTTCGTTTTTTAAGGGAATGCGCCGATCCCCGATCTAAATGCGTTTAAGTTCGCACGAATCATTCGTGATCCAGCTTCATCTACAGAAGAAGTGAGTATAAGGGTTTTTAATTAATCTTTGCAAATCGCCTTTCCTAATAACGTGCTAATTAGCCAGTTTCGCGGCTGAAGTTGCAGTCTGCTCGTCACCCCACGGAAGAGAGGGGCGGAGTCAGCAGAGCTCATTAGCATTTAAAGCAACATGGACTAAAACAGCGTGCTTTTTATTCACTGGTGGGCTTTCATAGTTTACTGTCCTAAATGATAAACAGTGACAAAAACCCTAATAACTAGACCTGTCACAATATTTCTGGGGCAATATATCGCACATCAAAAAGTTATCATTATATATTACAGCGATATTATTGTCATTTTAAAGACCATTTTATGCCACTGAATATATAATCATAATGTAACGGCATAATAATGCAAGAAGGCCTACACACTTCCAAATGACAAACTTTTAATTTTTAAGAATATTTAGATCATAGAAATTAAGTATCAAAATATTAGATACCTTAAAAAACCTGAACAAATAGTTTCTAACAAAAAGTGCAAAGTAGAAAAAAAGAAAAATGCACAAAGAACTTGTACGGAGATCTTTCCATCTACAGATTTTCCCCTGACCTTCTTTTCTCTGTAAATTAAGGGTGCACACTATTGCTGAAAAACACAATCACTAAGCAGTCAGATGTCCGTATGCACAAAGACACAGATCCCTAACCAAGGCCATATCTGCAGATGAAACTTTGTTTGTAGAAGCAGTTTTTAAATTTGAACTAGCACCTCATGACCAGTGTTGGGGTTAACGCATTACAAGTAACTTGTTACATAATCAGATTACTTTTTTTAAGTAACTAGCAAAGTAACACATTACTTTTTAATTTAAAAGAAAATATCTGAGTTACTTTTTCAAAAAAGTAATGCCAGTTACTTTGTTTTCCCATTTATTGATTGAAAGCTCTCCTGTCCCCATATTGGGAGAAATCGGAAGTGCAGAGGAGTTGTGTGCGCTGTGTGAACATGATGTAGTTCTAGACTAAATGTGAATGTGCATTAATTCATCCCACTCGCAAAAAACAGATTTAGTATTCATCAAAATGAATTAAAACCGTGAAATGCAAACTCAGAATATGACGCAAACCTGCAGTAATGTTAAATAACACAAATGTATCTAATCCCATTTTATTAAAGGGGTCCTATTATGCTCTTTTACAAAGTCTTGATTTTGTTTTGGGGGTGTACTAGAACATGCTCTCATGCTTGGTGGTTCGAAAAACGCATTGTTTTTCACATAATTTACATTATTAAAATACCTTTCTCCCCATCCTGGCACAAACGGCTCGATTAGTTCCGGCTTTGATGAAGGTCCGCCTTCTGAAAAACAAAATGTGTTGTGATTGGTCAGCTGTCTCCAGTGCGTTGTGATTGGCGAACAGCTTAGACGGTGTTTCAGTACTGCCACGCCCCTTGCTCCGTCTTTCAACAAAAGCTTTTGGGTGAATCCGGCACTGTACTCACTCGTGATGTGGAAGCTGTCCTCAGTAAAATGCGCAGCACACAATAGATTTCTAAATGACAACGATTCTCCCGTGTCTATTAAACTTTTGACAAAGTCTTACCGGATCATTCAAACCTGCGTTCGCACTGTCGCTGACACAGAGAGCAGTTACCATGTTTGGTTAAGAAACAGCTTCACAAACAGTCTTTTCGACTACACAGTATTATTTCTGTCGTACAGTCATTCATATTATCCCAGAAATACTGGGATGAAAGTTTATAATTCAGATATAAACATTGATGTCTATGGTAGCGCGACCAAAATAGAGCAAATCCGCGTTTGAAAGTAAATGCCACATAACGTTTGTATCGATTGCATTGTTTCGCCACTAGGTGGTGGCGAAAAGTGACTTAAAAATGTATAATTGAATGAATCATTTATTCAAGAGAATCATTCAAAAACGCTGATTCATCCAGTAGGTTTATGAGTGAGTCGTTGAATCATTGATTCAAACAACTTTTTCATAATTTTAATATTAAATTGAAGTATTAGTGAGTCGTTGAATCATTGATTTAAACAACTTTTTCATAATTTTGATATTAAATTGGTGTATTAAATATATTATATTATATATAAATATACACTACCAGTCAAAAGTTTTTGAACCGTAAGGTTTTTAATGTTTTTAAAGAAGTCTCTTCTGCTCACCAAGCCTGCATTTATTTGATCCAAAGTACAGCAAAAACAGTAACATTTTGAAATATTTTTATTATTTAAAATAACTTTCTATTTGAATATACTTTAAAATGTAATTTATTCCTGTGATTTTCAAAGCAACATTTATCCGAAATGGAAATCTTTTGTAACATTATAAATGTCTTTATCATCACTTTTGATAAATTTAAAGGATCCTTGCTAAATAAAAGTATTAATTTATATAATTCGCCCCCCCCCCCCAAAAATACTGACTCCAAGCTTTTGAATGGTAGAGTGTATATACAAAAGCTTTTTATTTCAGATGAATGCTGATCTTACTATTCATCAAAGAATCCTGGAAAAATTTACTCAGTGTTTTAAATATTGATAATAATAATAATAATAATAATAATATTAATTGTTTCTTGAGCAGCAAATCAGCATATTATAATGATTTCTGAAGATCATGTGACACTGAAGACTGAAAATTCAGCTTTGATCACAGAAATAAATTACAGTTTAACAGATATTCACATAGAAAGCAGTTATTTTACTAAGTAACGTAATTAGTTACTTTTTAGGGAGTAACGCAACATTGTAATGCATTACTTTTAAAGTAACTTTCCCCAACACTGATCATGACTACACCACGTTATGTACAAAAAGCTGCAAAAGACACAAGCGCAAGTGGAATGCAAAAAACATGGTGACATAAATTTTTAAGTAAATATAATGGGATATATATTGCGTCACCAAAAATTATTGAGGTCATGTACTAGGGATGTAACGATTAACCGCGAGTGAAAATCAATTCAAATATGTGACTATTCAGATCGGTTGAGATGCTAAACAAATCGCGATTCAATTAGGGTTATTTTGCATAAATTATTTACCTTAGTTTAGATCCTTAATGATTAATTATAATTATTAAAATTAAGCACCTCATCCTCAGTCTAACCCTCATAAAAATAAATTGAATGAATCTTACAAAACCTGCACATCCAGGTCATTATTCCCCCTAAAATAATAAATTTTGATCAATTGTCATGCAAATAATATCACCATAGTCCTAAAATATGCTTAATTTTCTTTATGCAAAATGTTGTTTATTATTTATTTCTTTTTGATGTGAAATATGACCTGGACATGTTCATGACAGGGTTTTGTGAGATTCATAATGTTTTATAGAATTTGGGGGTTAAATGGAAGATTAGATGCTTATTTATAATGTAAATAAAGTCAACATTAAAGGGGTCATATGATGCTGCTAAAAAGAACATTATTTTGTGTATTTGGTGTAATGCAATGTGTTTATGCGGTTTAAGGTTCAAAAAACACATTATTTTCCACATACTGTACATTATTGTTTCTCCTCTATGCCCCACCTTTCTGAAACGCGTCGATTTTTACAAAGCTCATCGGTCTGAAAAGCGAGGTGTGCTCTGATTGGCCAGCTATCCAGTGCGTTGTGATTGGCCGAATACCTCAAGCGTGTGACGGAAATGTTACATACTGTGATGCCGTGTCCCGGAGCGATGAGACAAAAACATTAAAACCCATTATAAACGAGGCATTCGTTGCATCCAGTGGGGACATAATTACGGATTATTAGAGAGAGCGAGGGGGAGAGACCCCCCCACATGATTGTAAAGCGCTTTGGGTGTACAACAATACACAATAAAGCGTTATATAAATGCAGCATTCATTCATCCATTCATTATAATGACTTATACTGTCTTTTTACGCGTTGCGTTGCCTTGCATCGCGCCGCGTAAACATAAAACCATGTCTGCATTTGTGATCGGAGAAATGACAAACAACAAGCCTACTCTACACTGCTCAAAACTCACGTTTGAATCATCAGTGGCAAATTCTTTAAATGTGAAAACATACTTACAGGCTGTGAGTCAGAAGCGCCAGACTGTCCTTGCAAAGTTGGAATTACTCCACTTTATAGAAACAGCCTTTGTGCAATGCGTGCACAGACGGCATTTACAGTCTTCCGTAAAATGCGCTGCACACATCTGAATATTTTGGTTGAACTGTTCTGGAACAGTGTTGTAAATACAACTTAACCACTGATTTCTAGTCGTGTGAGATGTTCTTTAGATGTTTGTGAGACGTTTGTGAGATGTTCTTTAGATGTTTGTGAGACATTTGAGATGTTCGCGAGATGTTTGTGAGATGTTCACTAGATGTTCTTTAGATGTATGTGAGACGTTTGTGAGATGTTCACAAGAAGTTTGCGAGATGTTTGCGAGACGTTTGTGAGATGTTCACTAGATGTTCTTTAGATGTTTGTGAGACATTTGAGATGTTTGTGAGATGTTCTTTAGATGTTTGTGAGACATTTGAGATGTTTGTGAGATGTTCGTGAGATGTTCTTTAGATGTTTGCGAGACGTTTGTGAGATGTTCACTAGATGTTCTTTAGATGTATGTGAGACGTTTGTGAGATGTTCACAAGAAGTTTGCGAGATGTTTGCGAGACGTTTGTGAGATGTTCACTAGATGTTCTTTAGATGTATGTGAGACGTTTGAAGGAAAACTTGAAATCGCATCATATGACCCCTTTAAGCTAAAATGCACTTTATTTTCTTTATGCAAAATATATTTTCTTTTTTGATGTTTATATGACCTCGACATGTTTTTGATTTGTTCTGTTTTTCACGAGACATTTGTGAGATGTTTGCAAGATGTTTGTGAGACATTGATGAGATGTTAATGCGATGTTCATGGGATGTTTGTGACGTTCACTAGATGTTCACTAGATGTTCTTTAGATGTTTGTGAGACGTTTGAGATGTTCGCGAGATTTTTGTGAGATGTTCACTAGATGTTCTTTAGATGTATGTGAGACATTTGTGAGATGTTCACAAGAAGTTTGCGAGATGTTTGTGAGATGTTCACTAGATGTTCTTTAGATGTTTGTGAGACATTTGAGATGTTTGTGAGATGTTCTTTAGATGTTTGTGAGACATTTGAGATGTTTGTGAGATGTTCTTTAGATGTTTGTGAGACATTTGAGATGTTTGAGATGTTCGTGAGATGTTCTTTAGATGTTTGTGAGACATTTGAGATGTTTGAGATGTTCGTGAGATGTTCTTTAGATGTTTGTGAGAC